AACCTAATAATAAATAACTTTTCACGAAAAATAGCTGATATCCAAGCTACATTAAAGCTTCAATTAAAAAAAGTCTAAATATGCTCCAAAAAGTGAATTGATATCCAAATGAAAGAACTACTCTTATTTTAAGTTAGTAACATTTTTTTCTTTGGCATAATATAAAGACTACTCAACCATCTAACAAGTTAAATTACAAAATATTAGGACTATTTTCTATTTAAAAAAAACTAACTTTGTTACATATAAAAATAAAACTACAAGCATCCAAGAAACTACGTCCTACTTTCTTCACTTCTTGATTAAAACTTTATAAAAAATCAAACATATTAAGAAGTATAAAACCACTATGTAGAATAGATATTAATTCGTTTTTGAAAGATATTGGTAAAATATATTAATAGTCCATATAATAGGAAATTCAGAAGCACGGATGAGTGATTTAGCTCTTAAAAGCGGTTAATTACAGAATTACGGTTAGAATCTGGAGAATCAGGGAAAAATATATAGGAGTTGTAGAAGTTAATTAAGGTGCCAGACTGTGAGAGTTGTAAGCAGAAGGCCATCGTTGTGATAGTGTGAGCCGGGGTAAGCTTGGTGCTACCTCTTTTCTTTTGATTGTTATTTTCTTTGAATAAGAGGATTGAGAGTTTCTGAATATTGTGAAGTGAATTATGGAATGGAAATGTGATTGGTATTATTTGAAAAGAAGAAAGATTGAATGCTGAAATCTGATTGTAGTTCAGCAGAGAGAATGAGTCTGTGTTTGTGTGAAACATCGTAATGTGAATGGCAGTTCTGTGTGAAGAATTCCAGTGATTGGAATGAGGGTAATTGTGTGCTGAAAGTTATGAGGGCGCAATATTACAGTTGGAGATTATGAGGGTGAATATATTGGTAGAAATAGTAGTTATTGGTATGACTGAATTGCTATAAGGAAGAGACGGATAAGGTGAAGGAGGAGATTATAGTTTCCTTGTGTGTTCACATATTGGAAATAGAGACGATACATTCAGGAGGTAATTGATTGTGTGACCCTAATGTGAACGCTTAAGCAACTAGTCATTCTCCGTGTTTGAATCCCCTTATACAGGTTTATGTTGGAAGGTTTCTTTTGGAATAAGTAAAACGAGCAATCACAGTTAGAAAAAAAGAAGCATTTTCAAAAAGTTTCAAGAGCTCAACTCTTATATAAATTAATGAATCTTAAAGTAATCATATCCTATCTTAAAATTGTAATACATCTTTCATTTAAAATATGTAATTAGATATGGATATCTAAGATGAAAACACGATATAAATTAGGCTATGACAACCAAATATTTCATGTCATTGACATTGATATAAAGTATTTCTTGAACCAAGTAGACATCAAAGAATATCTATTATTGACTTTGCAAAAAAATTCATTGAAGTAGAACCTTTCTAAGAAGCATATTTTTTTGGAGTAAAAAAAGTAGCATACAAATACATTGGATATTTGGCTTTAAAAGGATTTGATCTTAATTTGAAGATTAATTTACAACTCAAAAAAATGCATAAGGTGTTTAGAAATACTTTTTGGCAATCCTAAAAAACCTAAAAAAAAAAACTTATTACATTTTATTCAACTTCAAAAAAACCTTAAAAAATCCTTAAAAAATCCTTAAGAAATTCTAAAGAAAATACAAAGAAATCCTTTAAAAATCCAAAAAAAATCTAAATAAATTATAATCAAATTTTAATAGAAATCTAATCAAATTTTAATAGAATTCTAATTAAATATTAATTAAAATTTAAATAAATCCTAATTATATTATAATCAAATCTTAATTAAATATTAGATAAATCTTAATTAAATCTTAATTAAATCTTAATTAAATCTTAATTAAATCTTAATTAAATCTTAAGTAAATCCTAAAAAATCTTATAACAAATATTAAACTTCAATAAATTTTAAATTTATTTTAAATCTTAATTTCAAATTATTTTCTTTTTTATTTTATAATTTAAAAAAAAACACAAAATATTTGAATATAATCAAAACTTATTAATTGGATTAATATTTCACCAAAAATATCTAACACAACAACATTTGAGAATCTACAAAAATTCTTTTATATATCTACTAAAACTTTAATAAAATCTAACAAAATGTAATTCTTTTTTTATTCTACAAAAAATAGAGCTAGTCAAAACAATTGTTGTTTTGCTAAGTTTTCACAAAATTATTTTAAACTCAAATTCGTTAAATCCAACTTTTATAGAAACATTATCTAGGGTGCTATCTATCACTACACATTAAAAGAACTCTATATTTGCTATAAGTGCATAGTTTTGTGCCTTGAGGACTAATTTTGACAATGATTCAAAATAGGTCCTTTGAAGATATTAATTTAAGATTTTTGTAGATAATTATTGCTAAAAACTATTCTTTTATTTTTACTTAAAGATATCTATAATATTATAATTTTTAACCTACTTTGTATTATCTTGTTTATGGTCGTACAAAGTGCGTAAAAGCCATTTTTATTAAAATACAATATTACTACTAAAATATTTTTATTACCTTTTTAATTTTTATTTAGATTTTTTAAATAATATTCTATTATATTTTAAAATAAGATTTTATATAATATGATTATTTTTCTTTTTTTCATCCAATAGTTGTATTATAATACAACAATGTCATGAAGTACTTTTTAAAAGAAGACTTTGCAATAAAGATACAAAAATTCAAACTTGGTCTACTATAGAAGATATTAATTACTATTGTTGGTTGTAAAGATTGATGATCTTTTAACTCATAAAAAAAAAACTTGAGTATGTGGCTGATACCATGCAATACATCTTTGACCCTCTTCATCTTTGATCAACTTGATTTTATCCTTCTTAGTCATACTTTGAGCTAAATGAAGAGGTGATGTCATAGACATAAAATAGAACATGATTATAGAAGTTTCCAAAAGATTCTATTAAGCCTTAGAAGGTTTTAGAGGATTTTGGATAATTTCAATAAATGTCTAATAGATGTTGGTAGATTCAAAGAAGCCTCCAAAAGGTCCAAGTTTCACAAACACAAGAATGTATTATAAAACCATCCTATAACTTTGATATTTATTTTGTAAGTCTTTTAATTATCAAAAAGCTTCTATTTGGCAATAATCTTATTTTTATATACATGTTAGTTATATAAAAATAAGATTATTGCCATCTTTAGTCTTCTCAATAATATTTTTGTATGTCAATCTTCATTCAAAATTCTTTTTTATTTTTATTTTACAAAAGATGTCATAATACTTTTTATTAAAAATTAAATATTATTCATGATATAATTTTTTCTTTATTTTTTTATTTTATATTATTATATTTTTTAAAAATAAGTCTTTATTGATTCATATCCTTGATAAAACTAATTAAGCTAATATATATATAATATTAAAACCTAAACTTCTTAAAAAGAAAAAATATTACTTGATATTTTATTTATTTATATAATAAACTAATATTAATAATAAAAATTTTGAAATATATATTTTTTTTCTTTTCTTACTCTATCTATACATTTGTCATTCCTTAAATATCTAGATTACTGCAATGTCTAATAAATACATCACTATTACTATTAAAAAATTATTGATGTTTATTCCATGTCAATATAATAGCTTTAAATGATATAATAATATTGTCTGAAATTCTAATCAAAAAAAGTTGAATTTATATATTATCTTTTCTTAGAATTTCTTTAATCCACATTTTTATTATTGATAACAAAAAAAATAAATTAAATAAGATATCTGACTAAGATGTATTGTTGATTAAAAATGCATGCACATATGAACCTCAAATCTTAACAATTTTGATCTCCTCCATCAAAGTCAATTCACAAAACATCTAAATTTCTTTCTAAATTTAGGGTTATGGGTTCAACATGCAGCATGACTATCTTGACAGCTACAAGTATAATCTCATTGTAGAAAGTTGTTGAATATAAGTAATTCTAGTTCATTTTGTAGTGTTTTTTTAAACCCTAAACTTGGTCACTCTACTACTAGAAACCTAACAAGTAGAGAAAGTAATAGACTTGATCTTTGCTTACTCAACCAATTTGATCTTTGCTTGCAACTCAGATTAATAGGATAAATGAGAGTACCATATCTCCTTGCTAAACACCGTCAATTTGTGTCCCAGTCACCTGATGTGGAACATGGAGAGAGTTCTTTGATTGCCCAATGCCGCCCCTGTTTGATAGTCATCGGGCCGTTCCTCTCACTAATTACTTAAGTTCTCCGTTGCTTGGACCACTTTCCAAGCAAAGACAAAATTTAATGATTAGCTGGTGCAGTGTTCCACACTCTTTGCAAGCAATGTTGTGCTCTGGATCAAGTCTGATGAGCTCATCGGTCGAAGTAATCCTCACACAGTGTTCGTAGTTGTCCTGCTAAACATACCAATTGCTATCCATCTGATTGCTTCCTACCTGCGGTGATGCTGCTAGCAAGCACTGACTTTTTCTCAAACCATGTTGTGCCCAAATTTAAAACATGTCCAGCGATCATAGAGAAGTCGGTTCCACTGGGACTCCCATTGCTGGATTTTCATTGTCATCGTCAACGTACCCATTTAGTTGAGCCATACGTTGCTATGAAACATTAATAACTCTCTCATCCAACCCAGAGATTGCTTGCAGTGGACTCCAGTTGGAAGGATATTCACTAGAACCACATTCGTCCACATGAATTCTCCTTTGAACTATTCTACCGCCCAAATTCTCACTATGCTGCCTACTGATGAATATTGTAACAGTCTCTCAAGAAAGCTTGTTAAAAGATAGGTATTTCTACTGAGCATAAAATATCATCAATTACCCAAAAAGTGAATCGTTTTGTTACCACTATCATTCAAAGAACTCATTGTTGCCCCTGTTCTACACAGTTCAGGTGTTGGAATCCGTTACATCCACATCCTTCACAAATATTACCTTAGAAAATAGTAAACCTCAAAAGACCCAACCTTCAAACTGGCCAAAAACTTTTGATGTAACATTGCTTCGCAACATTCATGAATGAATTACAAATTCAATACAAAAGCACCGTACAATTAATTATCTGGGGTGGTTCTGCATACATTAGCTGCTAAAGCATTAAATGGGAGAAAAAAAAAGTTTACACACGAGAACTTCTTATGTGTTTGATCCTGGAGCCCATTTGATGCTGCATCCAATACTGCAAAATTGCACGTGAAAAATAGTATGTGAAAACGCCTTCACTATTAGTTCATAAACTTCTATTCCTCTATTCACTTTTGTATTAAGTTTGCATGTATTCATATTCTCTAAGCTACTAGTCATTAGAAGAGACGAAACTCATCTCATAAAGAATCAAAATATTCCCCACCGTTTCCCTGTTCACAGATTCCTCAACATGTTTATCGTTGCACCTGAAGAAGGTGATTAATTCTAATGAGGCAGTATAATTTAACGGCATAAATTCCAAGCAGCAGCACAAAGGTCATACCTTGGCCTTTGAGGAAAAGAGATACGCCTTCCTGACAGAACACACTCGATTGCCTCCCGAATATCTCTGTACACAGTGGAACAGATATCTATGAGTAAAGTGGAAGTGATCCGCCATTAGTCATTGAAATCGCCTCATATTAAACGAAAGCCACAACCAGCTATTACATTCGATTCTTCTATTCAGTGCTATTTATTTTTTTAATTACAAACGCAAGTGGTAAAGAACTCACCTGCCCGTGACTGGGATATCATTACCCGGTCGGGAATCATCATATTGCCCATGATAGACTAATTCAAAGGGTCTAGGACCTTCCTGTTCATGAGCAGCACTCATAATTTTGTTAACCTTAAAATATCTCACCAAGAGTGAAAAATTGGTCATCATATACATAGTAAGCAAGGCAGAGAAACCCACCACCGATTAAACTAAAGTAACATATGCTACTCTCTAGCTCTTCTGTCTGGCAGCCTGTTCTACTCTTAAAAACCTTTAGTGCAGTAAACTGACAATTTATTGAACCACGTAGTGACAGATATTGGCAAAATACTCAAGCAGTTCATGAAACATATTGACGACGTTCAAGTTGCATAAATAGCTGCTTTCTGACGATATATTCGAGAAGAATTTTCTACTCAGAGTTGAGAGGAACTATGAAAAATTGTACCTTCTTGTACAAGAAGAATTCGGGGGTGCAAACAGCTCCGTAAGCCTTAGCAACTTCTTGAGTCTGCAACGCGAAGTGTAGTATATCATACAGATAGTGGCTCAAACAAACGTTTCCACAACGATGATTCATAGTCATCTCGGAGTACCATCACATAGAAATCGAATAGATATGTGCATAAGCAAAGAGCTGCAAAGTTCAAAGACATACCTCATCATACAAATATGGGAATGGATATCTCAAGGTTTTAGCATCCTCAGCCATAAATTCAGGGCCATCCTGTACTTCTCAAAGTAATTCAGACGTACAATTTTATTGTCATCAGCAAACACTTGCTCACATACCAGCAGTACAGAAAAAGAAAAAAAAAAAAAAAAAAAAAAAAAAAATACTCTTACGGACTCTTCTGCAGACAAATTACATATTCTAGAAAGCATTTTACGCATGTACCTGTGGGTGTGTCACGACAGAATTTGACGATATAGCCACTATTTGAAGCCCTCGCTGCGAAAAGAAGAGAGAGGAAATAAACTTAAATGAACTTTAAATTAAAAACATGTCAAACGTCGCAGGATATCTCCTAATCCTGATTTCAACGATTCACTCACATTCACAGGATCGTAACCAGGGGAGTAGAGAAAAAGGTCGACAAGGAGAAACGAAGGGCGTATTCAAATTAAGTTTGCTTCAGCATGTGATAACGGTTTCATAGAAACGAATTTTACCGGCTGGTAACTGTTTGCAAGTTTCACAAGATCCTTCTTGAGATGGATCACAAATGGGCAGTGGTTGCAGATAAACATGACCTGAGTCAAGCCGACATACACGACGTCAGAACTGCTAATTTTCTAATAAAAATACAGGGAAGATTTCGAGCTACAGGCAGGAACCACATCATAAGTTATATTACGCACGTCCTCATGCAAGTCATAGAGGTGCGTATTACCAGTAGAGCCGGAAATGCTTCAAAGTCCTCTAATTCCCACGTGTCTCCAGTCAGAGGCTCCACTAGCTGCAGTAGCACAGAGAAATCGATAAACAATAATGTCTATCTTAGTTTGTAATCAAAACTTGCCATAGACTTGAGCAAATATATTGCATCTCAGAAATACTACGGATACACCTGCAGTTGCACGCGCCGCAAACTGCCGTAGAAAGCTTTGAATTGAACTGTTGCAGGATTTCTACGAAAATTAAAATGACTCATGCAATATGAAGTCAAAGCAGACATTTAGGCTGTAGATAAGTTTCACAAAGTTAAAAGCTATGTTTGATTCGAAAGAAAATCTTTGAATATCATGCCAGAACAAACCGTTCGACATGTCAAACGTTTTCACATTATTGTAACATTTCAACTGATATTCAAATCACCGCTGAAGGCGTTGCAATGAAATACACAGATTATTCAGTAAATAGCGACAATATTCATCTCGATGAAGCCAAGAGCCCTGCATGGGGAGCGAAACCTATATAATTGACGTTGAAGAATACATGAGTAAATAGCTGTCCTGAATTTAGCAGCAAAACAACGCAAACTCACTGAGCTAAATTTATGAAAAGATGGCTCGCAATGCAAACAATTCCACAGACCTGGAAATCAGGAGCGCGAGTGGCAACGTCCGCTGAAGATTCCATTCGCTTCGCCTGCACAACCCCAACGGCCTTCCTTCTCATGCTCCGTTCCTCCGCAACGCGCCATTTTACTGCGCCTCGGAAAGCGAATCGTGTATAGAAAGAATCACCAAAAAACGCTGAGGTTCTCTTAACATTCCACGACGTGAGCTTCGAAGAGGTAGAAGGAGCAGCAGGGCTACGAGTAAGAGCGGACTGGAATGCTGGAGTCGAGCAGTAGAGAGGCTGCACTAGCGTTGACGCCATCGCCATCGCTACCACGGTCACCGCAAGTCCCAAGCTGGCCAAGGCATTCACCACATCTCCTTTGAGCTTCACTCAACACCTCAAATCCACAAAACTCCTAAAGATAAAATATAGATTTAGGTCACAAATCTACGCCCTCCATGGCTGCGAGGATCACCACTCAAACAGTGGCGAGGACTGAGCTGCCATTTTCGATTAGCATTGTTCGGACACATGCCATTCCTGCTTAATAAAGAGTCGAACCAGGCATTCAATCTACATTGTTCACTTACATGATTAATCTTGTAAAACATCAAATGTGCATATTAAAGATGCTATCAATTGTATTTTAGTGCTCAAACATATATATATATATATATATATATATTATTAATTATATTTTTATTTATTTTCTCTTCTTCATATAAATAGCTTTTAAGTAGTCCAGATAAGTTTTTCAATCAAAATTTTAATCACATAGCCTTTTCTTGTATTATTATAGAAATAAAATAATTTTTTAGAAGAAAAAATATAGGATACACTGAATCAATATTTTATTATAAGTCTAAATATGTTAGCTCATAGCTTTGTTCTAACAATTATAAAAAGTATATTATAAAAATCCATTAAAAAATTTAATAAATATATCAAGCATTATTTTATCACAACTTCTCAAATTGTATTAAAAACTATCTCTTAAGATAGGCTTAGCATAAATTTCTAAAAACAACACCATTAATGCCATGAAGGAAAAAATGCATTCTATCTCATCTTTTTATGTTCAAATCTTTAGATTTATTTTGCTAACTACCAAACCAATTTAGTGAGGTTTCTTAATTTCAACAAATCAATGAGTTTTAAAAGTTGTGACCTCTCACCTTTTCTCTTAATTATAAGAAATCTCTTCAATAATATGCAAAATTTTGTATATACATATATACATATATAAAACAATAGATATGTTGAAATAATTCTGTAAATTCAAATAATAGACTCTATGCACGTTTTTAAAAAATAATAATAAAAAACAGTGTTTTATGAAAATTTTATAATTTAATATTATGAAAAAGTGTATTTTAAATTTTAATTAAATATAATGTTCTTTGGATTATTAGGTGGTAAAAAAATTAACATTTATACCTCAGAATATACATAATATTTATATAATCAAAATAGTCTATATAATTTAGAAAAAAAAAGTATTCACTTCACAATATATATCATTCGATGTTAAAAATACAAATCATTGAATTACCAAAATGAACAGACTTGTCCAGATTCTTAATTTGGTTGGACATGTACCAAATGTATTCCTCCTCCCTGGTTAGCACTTTGAGACATCTTCTCTCTAGCAGTTACGGAGGAAATTAGGAAGTTCGCAGACTTTGCTTTTACTTATTATTGAGGGTAGTAAGAATTGATGCTTTTGAGAGGAGTAAACCCTAACTGCAGATATGACTTGATCCACAAAAACGAGCTTGAGGTGGCGCACTGTTTGAGCAGCCACAAAGTAATTTTTTTATTGCAATGCCTCATAGTGCTTGATGCACTCACTCACTCACTCACTCACCCTACTAGGTTGTATCCAAGCGGTACATCATTGTTCAAACTAAGAAACCCTCAGCTTCAGAACTATGTACAAGTTCTCTGCAAGCCAAATCCTGCACATGATCCAAAGACAACCTCGAACTCGTGTGGAAGAGCTTCACATGCGAGCAGTAGGAGCGAACGTTACAATGTTGCGGTACGCATCCAGGGTGAGGAAATCATCCAACACAGGCGCTGTGCATTGCTTGGCAAACAACTTGGCCGCCTCCTGGTAACGCCCGTTGGCGAATTTGGCAGGCCCCACCTCCTTCTCGATGCGCACGAGCTCCTCGTCCAACACCCGGGCGAACAGCTCCTTCGTCACTCGCATGCCTGGATACAGCAGCAATCAGGCCCAACGAGACAATGGCAACAAAGCTTTTTTCGCAACTATTGAAAAAGTTTCACGGGTTTCCTCACAGAGTATTACAAGCTCGGCCGGTCACATTGCACATTACCAAGTCGAGTTAAAGATTAAAAGAAAAAAGTTCATCTGCTTGCGGAATTTATAATTAACATATCCCTTTTCGCGAAAAAAGATGCAGGATGATGTATACAGTTGCCAATCGACATGTCGGATGAAGATTTACCTGGCACGAGGCCACCATCGAGGACGGCATTATACTTGATTTGTTGCCAGTTCTGGACGCGGCTGATTTCAGCGGTTGCAGCATCCTCCATGAGATTGTATAAGGGCACAGATCCTGTTCCTGTCATCCATGCTGCCAGGTACTGAACTCCAACTCTGGTGTTCAATCGAAGCCCCTCTAGGGTTCTCGTCCCCTTGGGCATCTGCAGAAGATCTGCGCAGGTCACATTCACGTCTTCACGCTTCACATGTAACTGGTTAGCCTTGGGCATGTTCTGGTCGAATACTTCGAGCACCAGGGGGACGAGGCCTGGGTGAGCAGCCCAGGTACCGTCGTGCCCGGCAAGGACTTCACGCAGCTTATCAGCCTTAACAAGTGCCGCAGCAGCTTCGTTTGCGGCGGGATTGTCCTTGATTGGAATTTGTGCAGCCTATTACCATGCCACAAAACAAGGACTCCCCATTTTGAGTTGCTCTTCAGAAAGAGATGATAACTATAATCATAACCGAAAGCATTACTAGCCTGACTAATGATCAAAGAAAATGAGGGTCTATCACTTACCATGCCGCCCATGGCGTGTACGCCGCGCTTGTGGCAGGTTTGAATCAACAGCTCCGTGTAGCTCTTCAAGAAGTGTTGAGTCATACCAACCTGATAAACATGACGAACTCTTGAGTACTTTGTCAACCAAGATCAAAGGTTGTAACATTCTCACCACAATGACCTTGTGCGTGTAGTGGTCTAAAAGGTGGAATCTAAAATTTGGTACCTGCACACGATCAGGGAGTAGCCTGTCGGGATGAGCACGGACAGTCTTGATGAAGCTGAAGATATAGTCCCAACGTCCGCAGTTAAGCCCTGCGGAGTGCTCGCGGAGCTCGTACAGGATCTCGTGCATCTGAAATACTGCTGGCAGTGTCTCAATGAGCACTGTTCCGCGAATGCTGCCGCGAGGCACCCCGCAGACGTCCTCAGCATGGTCAAAAACCGCATTCCACACTGCAGCTTCCCTAGAGTGCTGCATTTTGGGCAAATAGAAGAAAGGTCCGTAGCCACCATGCCTGTAAAGAAATCATCAAAAACCACAATGAAATTTCAAAAACTGCCGCAGTATCCGATTTCGAAAAACTGCAACAAAAAAGCCTGAGAGCCTCGGAACACGAAGACCTCTTTACTAAGCCGAGCAATCCAGAAGTCTCAATGTCAATCACAGTTAAATCAAGAGAAATACTTCGCTCTGTAGCTGGCGTGGTTGTGAAAGAAGTAAAATCCAAAATCGATCAAAGCGCCTGTCGCAGGCTCCCCATCAATCTCGATATGCGACTCCTGCAAATGCCAGCCACGAGGGCGAACCAGAAGCGCAGCCGTCTTACTGTTCAGCTTGTAGGTCTTGTTGCGAGCCTTGTCCTCGTACGTGATAGTCCTGTTCACGGCATCTCTTAGGTTGATTTGCCCGGAGATGATGTTGTCCCACGTAGGGGCCAAAGAATCCTCAAAGTCCGCCTGCAAGTAGGAGACCAGTTCATCGTTAGAAAACAAACGAACATCGAATCTTCAGATATCAAAGCTCAATTCCACTTAGACAAATACAGATCCTTCATATTGCTGTTAACAAACTGAATGATGAGATGTTGACAGAAACTGACCATGAACATCTTGGCGCCGCAGTTGAGGGCGTTGATAATCATCTTCCGCTCAACAGGGCCAGTGATCTCCACCCGCCGGTCAGCGATGGCGGCTGGGGGGGAGCTGCAGGTCCACTCTCCCTCGCGAATCGCCTTCGTGGCGGGGTCGAAACTGGGAAGCTCTCCAGCATCATAGCGCGCCTGCTGCTCCTCCCTGCACTTCAAGATATACTTGACCCTCGGCCTGAACTTTCTCTCCAACTCAGCTACAAACTCAAGAGCATCCCGAGTGAAAATCTTCTCAAATTCCGGCCTCATGGGTCCGCGAATGCGCACTCCCGCGGGGATCGACATCTCCGGGTTCCTTGACCGCTTCTGCGAGGAAGGGTTGTAGATCTCCATGTCGGATGACTAAGAGCCTAACTCTGCACAAGACATTTCACATCCTCAATCAGAAAACAGAAATATCCATGAATTGTATCCGCTAAATAACCCAGTACCCCCGGAACCATGACGTGATGCCAAACTTTTATTCCAACTCTATCGCAAGCATGCAACTGCATCACAAAAACATTTCGCACCTCGTCAGAAAATAAAAGCAAAGCAACAAGCTGGAGACACAATCGAAACCTGTTGGCAGCTCTTCGGCTCAATCGGCAAGTACAGCTTCTCCAAGGCCAACGTGATATCTCCGAGACTGCTAGTGTGTGGAGAGTCCTGAATTACTGAGGAGTGCAAGAATCTGGTGCAAGTGATCAAGGAGAGCTGAATGTGTCCCCGATCCCATGAAGAAAATAGTAGACTATTCATGCGAGGTGCGAAAAAGAAATTGAGGAAAACGGTTGGGATAATCTCCAGAAACGGTGCCATGTCGGCGCTGACGTGAAGATAGGAAGAGTAAGTTGCTGAGTGCACTCCACGACGCGGGTTTTCCCAATTCTCTTTGCCCGCTCCAGCTTTTTCCCCGACGCAGCTACCTGGCGTGATTTTACCCGACCCGAAGCTTTCTCACGACCCATCAGTAGCAGACAATAATTTTTTAAACCGAAACCCTTTCCAAAACGGCAGTCTGGCACAAAACGAGCACCTCTACCGAAAACGGAGACGAAGCTTTCTCACCAACTTTAACGTGATTTGGACGGTAAGCTGATGGTGAATCAGAGTTATCAGGGGGTTCAGCATGTAAGTGATGGGCAAGAGCACGAGTGGTGGCCCACAGCTTGAATGAAGATACCATGCACTGATGCAATACTCGCATCCTACTCGAGTGACTCCCTGCGTGAGTGTGAGAGTGTGGGACGGCACCCTTGTGTGCCTTCGCCGTCGTGGAGGTGAGTCAGTCGTGACTTGGATGTCTAGCTGGAGCCATTACTCCGTCCACGTCATCAGCTTCCGCCAAGTGGGCTCGTCTTAGGGCTTGCGTGTCCTATGAGACTACTGGACACCCTCCCTTCAAAACCGAAATGGGCTCAGATTCATGTTTCGGATTATTATTATTATGGTTCCATTTCCCTTTGCTCAAGATGCAAAGAAGTTTTGAATTTAATGGTGTGAAAAGCCTTTGGGCATACAATCAGTATTATAATTATTCAAATAGAATATATTTAAAGAAAAAAGTTTGGTTTCTTGTATTCAATAAGTTTTAATTTCTTTGTTATATATATATATATATATATATGTGAACATTAAATAGATGCACTCTTGATGAAGAATAGTGGAAAAATGACTCGTAGATTCCTCTTGATTGCAAATCCAATAGTGGAGAAACAAATCTAGGAGTCATTTTCTTTTTATGATGGTTAAGATGAGTGGGTTGATTTAGTAAGAACTTGGATTCATTTAACATTCTCCTATATATATATATATATATATATATTTTTTTTTTAAATTTAAAATAATTTCAAATAATATCCTAGTAATAGATCTTAAGAAAATTTAAATTATTATGAATTGAAAGATTTTAAAAACAATAAAAAATATGTAATATTTTTTGGAATTTACTAATTGCTATCAAATCATTATTAATATGTTTTTCAAGTTGAAACTTCACTTATACATTTTACTTATAAAGACAAACTTGAATAGAATAAATAAATAAAAAAAGGTATTTAAAGCATTGAAGACAACTTTTCTTTTTGTACCAATTTTGTATCACATCAATTTTTCAAAGGCATTTTTTATGGAAGCAAATGCATTGGACTTTGCTTTGGATGCAATATTGTAATAAATGGAAGTAAATGACAAATATCAATCAATAGTTTTTTTTATTTAAGAAAAAATTTAGCATCTAAGATCAACTACAAGATCTATGATAAACTTCTTGTAATTGTAGATTCATTTCAAGAATAATATCATTTCTAAGAAAGAATTTCAAGTCTAATCACCATATATACAAATCATAAGAATTTGAAGTGTTTTATATTGGTATGTATTCAAAATCATTGCCAAACTTGTTGGAGCATGTCTTTGTTAAGATTTGAATTCAAAATCACTTACTAACTAAAAAAACAATAAGATTTGTCAAAAATCCTTTCTAAACATTTTTATTTTGCATCAAAAGAAATTCTTAATGCAGCTTTTATTTAACTATAATCAATTCTTTCAAAGCTAAAGTAATTTCATCTTCAACCTTTAAAATCAATATTGATTATTAATTCAACATTTTTGAAGCAAATTTGATCAAGTATGTCTTTAGATATTCTTATTTATGATATTGAAAACAATCATCCTAAAACTCATGATATTTTTAAGTTTGAATTTAATAACAATCTATTCTATTTTAAGAGATGTTTATACATTTTAGAAGGTGAAACACGACTATGTGCTCTTCAAGCTTCTCACAACTTCTAAGTTATAAGATATTTGAGATACAATAAGACTTAGAAAATAATATTAAGAGATTTTTGGTAGTCTCAAATATGAAAAGAAATTAAAGTCTTTGTATGATTGTATGATGTTTGCTTAAGATCAAAAACTTATCATCATTCACTTTATGGACTTCTTTAGCCATTATCTATAATAAAACAATTATATACTTGTGTATATTTTATCATAGAACTTATAATCTCAAGTTTATATGACTTAATATTTGTAATAATAGATTTTTTTATCAAAATAGCACATTTTGTACTATGTATCAAAACTATCATAATTAAAAAAATATCTATTTTTTTTAATAATATTTATTGCTATCTTTGATTGCCTAAAGATATTATATTAAATAGAGGAATTTAATTTGTATCAAAATTTTAGAGAATCATTTTTAAGATATTTAAGGTAGATATAAAATTATCTTCTATTTTCTATTCTTAAATTATTTAAAAAACAAAACAAGTGAATCAAGTTTTAGAACAATACTTGAGATATACCATCAACTATCAATAACATGATTCAATAATTCTTTTGCCATTAGCAAAGTTTTTTGATAATAATATAATACATTTTTTTACTCAACAAATACCTTTTTATGCAAATTATGGTTATTATCCATAACTTAATACTTTTATCTTCTAAAAAGTTAATAATCCTATTACAAAAGATTTGAAAAATTATTTATCAAAGCTCCATGTAACAATAAAGGTACATTTAAAGAAAGATCAACAACAAAAAAGATCAAGATCTACTATAAAAAAAACTTTAATTTTACATAAGAAACAATGTATGATTATTTTGTTGTAATATCAAGACTAATTGCCTTTAATAACAAGTTGGATTATCATAGACTTAAAACATATTTTATTTGAAAAAAAAACCAATTTTAATGTTAATTAATTAAGACTACCAAAGTCTATCAAGATCCATCATAACGTTGTCATGAAGTAATACAACTATATGGTAAGAATATAATCAAAAATAAATTTCTAATTAATATCTAATTATCTTAGTTAAATAATAATTTAAGATATTTAAACATGGCTTTTATAAAAGCCTCTTAGTTAGTTTCTTGTCTTAATATTTAGTAGATTAAAAGTTGGTTAGTAATTTTACCTTCTAGGCTATAGAGACTCTTTTATTGCTTTAGAAAGACCATAAATTGATAAAATTAAGTAAGAAGAGGTAAATAATTAATATGGTTGATACTAAGGTTAAGTTGAGGGTAGGATTGGGCTAAAAAAACCCCTAGGATAGGTTAGATTGATATCCGGGGGTTGACCATTTGTAAGATAGGATCAAAATCACATCTCTAGCTACTAAAACAACAACCTAGGACAAAATAGGATTTCATTTGAAGTTCGGCAATTAGAATTCAAGAGCTAGCTTGAAGCTTATTCTAGAGATGTAAGGCTTGTTTTTGTAGGATTTGATTTAATTTTGTAATTTTTTTTCAAAGTTAAGGTTTTTTATGGCAACTTAGAATTTATGCAATATAATTAGAACTATCACTCTTAGCTAGTTCATAAAATTGGTGTCACATCCATAATTCAAAATTTAAAAATGCTTAATTAATTAGATGTGCTAAGTAAAATTATATTGTACAATATAAAATTTAAAAATGCTTAATTAATTAGATGTGCAATTGAGAGATATCTAGATTTTAGTACAAGAAGATATTGGAAGTTGGCAATTTAGAGTTGGATAAGGTTTCTATGATATTTAAAGATTTAATAGTCAGATGAAGGTGATATTTGGCATAGTATTAGAAGACTTAAAGATCAAGCTACACACCAATTTTAAGTTGAAGTTAATGGTTGGAGAAGGAGAAATCACTGCTGGAATGTTTGCCTTTAAGTTAGCGGCCAAATAACATTAGTATGGTTTTTGGACGTTTTTTCATGATTTGTAAGTTGGATTGGAATAAATTCTTTTTGAGCACATAGAAGACTTATACTGGTATTTGTGTGCAAACAATTGCTCCAAGTAGAAAATTAGATTAGAAACTACAACTTGCTAAAGCTTGCTAATTAGAATTAAGGTTTACAAAGAAAATTCAAAATTGCCTAATTATGAAAGTAATAAGATAATTAGAATTTATGTATAGTTAAGATTATTAAGAAGAGCATTTTTGAAAACTTTTTATTGGATTTTAAGCACTTTTGAATTAAAATTCAAATTGCATTCTTCTTATAAGAGTGAAATATTTTAGGATTGTTGAATATTTGTAAAACACAATCCCACTTTCTACAGTCAGATGCCTAGTGCATTTCCAAATAGGACGACACATGATACAACAACGTGTCTCTTCTTAAATCATACAAGATAGTAGATATACTGAAAAGAAGATAAATTCTACCTTTTTAACTAAAAATACACAATAATCAAGAGGTTAAGATTAAAAAAATTAAATTCAAGGCATCACCAAAATCAATTTGAACGTCTTGTATATTTTTACAAATATAATATTAGTAAATGCTTATTAGAACTAGTCAAGAATCTTACAAATGAGCAAAAGAAATTTAATATTTTTTATTGATAATATCAATCAAAATCAATATAAAGAATCAAATAATTATTACTACAAAAGAAAAAAAATTCAATGATGATTGTATTCTATTTTATATCTTTATTTGTAATTTTTGTATTTTTGTGGTACTAAAAAGATGGAAAATTAACAACTATCATAGATATATATATTTATTCTAATAATTACTCCTATGATTAGGTAGGAGTAGGTGAAAGTAGGTTAATTTTATAATAACTTCTAGAAAAGCTTCTTAAAAGCTTTATAGATGTTGATTTGAGTTTATATATATTTGAAATTAATTAGTAGGCTAAAAACTTTGTTAATGAGTTAGCTACATATCATATGTATTAGTTATTTGTGGAAAAAGATAATTATGTGGTACACATATAAATAACTTACTTTATAAGTTAATACATGTGTTTAGCAAAG